ATGTCCACTCAAAATTAGAAGTCTCTAGCTAGAATGGTTCTTGAGTTACAGGGGGGGGTCGGTACTTTTGACAAGTACTGTATCTAGATTTAGGAAATAGATTAAGAGCTCATATTTGCAGCATAAGTAGTCGAGGTCAAATACTATCTATAGCGAAGTTCAAAAATAAATATCGCACATGTTCGAACATATACGTACAACATAGAAGAATTTTGTGAAGATACAGACTTTCGCATAAATTTCTTTTATCTGAACAATATATTATTGCATTAAATATTACTTAGATCTATTGTATAAGTGGACATCTGATGCAGTTATTTAAATCATTTGTACAAGTTCCTTGGCTGACGTACGAATGAGCACAAAAGTGAATGGAAACTGGCCTCGTTCTCTTTGATCGATTTTCTGAAAACGTTTTCATCTCTCTTAGGTCAGGAGCTATTGATATTGTATGAAAAAGAGGTAAATCGCTTATATCTCACGAACTATCTAGTAAAAGGGGTCCAAACTTGGTGGGTGATCAGCATTCGATAAGAGCTATGTCCACACAAAATTAGAAGTCTCTAGCTATCATGGTTCTTGAGTTACAGGGGGGGGTCGGTACTTTTGACAAGTACTGTAAATACCTCAAATTGCACTTTTATACAATTGTCCTTCTAGCCTGCTTTTAGGGCTTCTACGAAATTCTCTAACCTTCGAAGTAACTAAACTCTTGCTCAAAAGTTTTTCTCAAACTACTACACCGTAAAAAGGGAAAAGAATGCTTCCATAAAATTCGTATAAAAAGCTTCTTTGATTTTCATGTGGCCTTACTTTCAGATGTTGGATTTGGCGTCTATTATTCTTTCTTTCAAGTCTTGCTATTGTAGTCTCGATATTCATTTATTCTATTATTTAGTAGTATTACGTTACCAATAAAAAAAGGGTTCGTCTGTCAGACTGTTATCCCGTGGTTACTCGAGCATACCTCCTAACGGATGGTTAGCTTTATTGGGGCTGCTACAATGCCTTAACGACGCCGATCAATCCCATTTTACTACTCATCAAATTTGTTTAAAAAAATCGAATGTGAGTTGAAAAACAAGTGATTTCCTTTTATTTCATCCTATCTCACGTATTTATGATATCAAATTTCTTTCACCAATTATAAAAGGGTTAGTGGTACAAAATTGAAGAATATATACATCAAGAATGCAAACTGTGAAACCGAGGAACATTTTGCTTTTCTACTAGTATCATCCACTTCTTATTCAACACGGTTGAAAAATGAACTCTATCGTAGTTTTTGTTGTCTGTTTACTATATTATTTATCAAGTGTTATTCTTGGAACCGATAATGGCAGCACAAAAGGTAAGATAAATACACCAAAGATTTGTCCTTAACTTTTGTGAAATAATCAATTAGGAAATGTTACGAAACTGATACTATTTCACTGCGAAGCTACAAAATTAATCTAATATACAGATTTATAGGTTAAAGATGAAGGATTAAGTCCCCTTTCAAATGAAATTCGAGTCAACCTTACCCGATGCACTTATACAGTGGCTCTTCATCAGGAATCGAGAAAGTTTCTATAATCCTCATTTTTCATGAAATGATTCCGATCCGAAACGAACAGCATGAGGTACAGGTACTTTTGTCGAGTTCTTCAAAATTCAAACGTAAAATTACTCGCGGTCAGGGACCTAGGTCAGCATTTCACATGGTCTGTTTCTTGTTTCAGTCTATAACCACCCTGGCGGTATGCATCCCAAATATCAAATTGACTTTGTAAAACTGAAAGTGTTTAATAAACAACAGCCTTACTATGATGCCTATCATCAGTTGATCTCTCACGCCGATGCAGCATTTAATCACACCACCCATGCCTTAGCTGATTTTGCCGTTCCCGGCTACTACGTACATGCTGAAATGCACCAGAAAAACTCAGCTGGGCTTCAATCGGATGCATTTGATGCGTATGCCTGTGCACTGGCTTATCACATAAGCGGCGATCAATCAAAATATGCCGATCAATCACTACGATTTTTGAAATCATGGGCCGACTTGAATACGAAATATTCTGATGCTGACGGCAGCCTTGTCATGGCTTATTCCGGGACGGCAATGGTCATGGCGGGCGAATTACTCCTCAACTACAATGGTTGGGCTCATGTTGATAAGCAAAAGTACTTGATATGGGTACAAAATGTCTATCTAAAAGCGTCAAATGAAATCAGACTACGGAAAAATAACTGGGCGGACTGGGGTCGGCTGGGCTCGATTCTATCTGCCCATTTGTTGGACAATCCCCAGGAAACGGCTGAAAATATCCGTTTGATCAAAAGTGATCTGTTTCATAAAATCGCTAACGATGGTCACATGCCGAAAGAGACTGCAAGGGGTGCGAATGGAATCTGGTACACATACTTTTCCCTTGCACCCATTACAGCCGCCTGCTGGATAGCCTATCAGTCAACAGGTGAAAATCTATTTACCAACTACACGCAAGGCAATTCTTCGATCAAGCAGGCGCTCGATTATTTGTATTACTATAATCTTCACCCCAACGAATGGCAATGGTTTGTCAATCCTAATAGAGGAACACCAGGTTCATGGCCGGGTAACTTGCTGGAAGCCATGTCATCTATTTATGGGGATAACCGCTATGCTGACTATGCTAAACCGGCAAGGCCCATATCCTATAGTAAACATCACTTCGCCTGGGCATTTCCCACGTTGATGAAAGTCCAATTGGGTGATATGCACTAGGTTACAAAAGATCAATTGGAATTGTGCTATCTAGTTAAACGCACAAGATAATGAATTGCGTGCCTTCGTGAATAAATTTGTTTTTGAAAAGTTGACAATAAATCGTGAGAGGATAACAAGTACCGTGTGTAATTCATCCAAAAGAATCAAGATTTTCGCCGTATTTTTAACCAACAAAATGATTGCAATTCAAACTAACTGGCAAACTACACGAGGAGTGGAGAGTATAGAAAAGTACTTTGCACCAGTGGTGGGCCGCCAGCAGGACAACTGGCCCTCCTGGAGAAAAATATAAACGGTAATAAGAAGTTATTGCGCTGTGAAGGATAATATTTCGCAGCAGTGTATTTTCTTAAAATTCGAGTTAAAAAACGAACAATGTTTGCTTGCAAAATTACGTACATCTCTAGGAAGTACGTTTCTGCATGTATCACGCTAGGAAGGGTATTCTACCATTTAGAAAAAGTTTCCGGGCCTGCCCATGCTTTGCACTACCTACAATCAAGGTTCACGGCGCTGTCCAGCTCGACAAATCTCCTTCTATCAATCTCACTTTATACGAACACATATGGTATGGTAACACGTGAGTGAACTGCAAGTGCGTCTTACAATCAACTTTTTTCTTCATTTGGGCTATAACTTCTATTCATCTCAATCGATTTCAAAAAAATTTTTCTCTTTCGTTCCTAATGGCTTATTCAAGCAACCCTAAAAATTCCAGCCCTAGATGTCGTCAGAACACTGAGATAGAGTCATGTGATATCAAAAAAACCGTTTTTCTGATGACTTATCCTTAGAAAAAGGAAAATTTTCTAGAAACAGAAGAAGTAGGCAAAAAACTGAAATGTACATTTTCAACAGTTTTAAATTGTCTATCCGTATTGTCTAGCCGTACTATTGGCGTATTCTAAATATCACTTTCTGGTCTTTTTGGGGGAGAAAAAGCTTTGTGGAGACGATGAAGCGTGAGATTTTGAAATCTTTCAGAGACTGAATTAAGCACTGCTCTGCAAAACAAGTCCGACTAAAAGATGCAGCTCGACGAGCTGCATCTAGCTGCGTAAAAATCATTTCATAGGTAAATAGTTTGCAGAAGGAAAAACTCAAATAGCTGTTTTTTCACTCAGTTTGAAGCGTGGGATTTTGATGACTGTTTTTTCTCTAACTTCTAAATGGACGAATCGATCTCGATCAAACTTTTACACGACAGTGGAGACACTATGACCTGTGTTCAGAATTATTTTCAAGACAAAATTCCGTTTAATTTAGGAGAAAATTACAATTTAACGAAATATGAAGCGTGAGATTTTTCGGGTCAGGTGTTGATTGAGTTTGGTAAAAAACTACTGTTGTTATATACCATTCAATTCCTTCCATCAAACTGAACACGTTCCATTCCCAGGCCATTCCCTACTGTGCTAGGGAAAAATATCGATTAAAAAACCGTTTTCTCTTTGATCCAACAAGAATTTGCAGTAACTGAGATTTCACTCTCGAAAAGTCTTGTTTTTGGATAGTTTTTAGAATCTTTTTAGATTAGAATGACTTCAGCATCAAAGCTCATTCGAAGAAAATATGATAAACGCTATCGCGAAAAGACGAAAATTAAGAGATTATTGAACAAGGACTTCGACAATGACTTTAACGAAAAAGAAGCCGGGAACAGCGAAAAGGTCGACAGGAAAAAGGTCAGCTGCTGTCACCATCAGTTCTTTCCCTTCCGTCCACATCCACAACAACTGCATCAAGGTCGGACGGCCGTGCAAAAGAAGGACAGAGAAGGCGTGCAAACTTAGAGAAGCTGAAGATTGAAAATGAACAGCTTTTGGAAACCGTACGTAAATTGAAGATGGAAAATAACAAGTTGCAAGCCAAAAGATCTCTCACTCCACCTCGTCCATCTCCAACAACTTTGCTCGGCGAAAGTCTAAGTCCAACAGCAAAGAGACGTGTAGTCTCTCGTCTAAAAGATCGAAAAACTGATTTGCCCCGAGGTTCACTGCTCGATCTGAGAAAGACATTTAGAATTAACTTATCCACACAAAATATTCCAAAGAAAACAGCACCTTCTGCACTACAACAGTCCATCGAAAATTCCTTCACTCAGGATCACGTGTCCATACCGTGTCCAGATAAGAATAAAACTGTGAATGGTGTTCAAATTCGCTATCGGCTGAACCACCTTTCCTGTCTACATCAACTGTTTGAACATGAGACAGGCACAGACATTGATTATGTAACGTTCACTCGACATGTGCCGACTAGGGGTGGCACTTTCCCGTTCCTTTCCCAAGTAACGGTAAAGTGGTATCTTTCATTTCAAAAGTAAAGATTAAAGATATAACGGATACCTTTCTCTTTCCTAAAAAAAAGGAAAGTGGCAGCTTTTCTTTTCCAAAAAAAAGAAAAGTAATATCTTTTCTTTTGCAAGGAAAAGACTTTCTTTAAAAGGTGCAAAGAAAAGTCTTTTTCCTGAAAAAAGAAAAGATATTGCTTTTCTTTTTTTAGAAAAAAAAAGCTGCCACTTTCCTTTTCCTTAGGAAAGAAAAGATATGCATTATATCTTTTCTCTTTTTTATTGTAAAGATAAAGAAAAACTTTTCTTTTGTTAATAAAAAAGAGAGATAGGAAAGAGAAAGTGCCACCCCTAGTGCCGACGCATATTATGAAACCAAATCACAGCAGTTGGGGAACGTGTCTTTGCGTTACCTGCCTAAATCCTCAACTGAAATATGAAAAACTGAAACATTTGAGACAGAAACATCAATGTCTAAGTAAAGTCGTAGATGGAACGCCTCCGGACATTTCTGATTTAGTAAAAAACAGTGATGATTTTGAACTTTTCAAAGAGAATTTACTAACTTTGATTAATGAAAAGATTAATCTTTCATATTTCGAGTGGCAGAAAATTAAGAAACTGAATTCTACAGTCCCTGTTTCCACAAAAGTAGCAGTCACCTTAGTTTTGGCAGATTTTATGAAGAAATTTGTCACTGAAATCGACGTAGGTAGATTACTTTCACCTCAAAACAACCATTTCTCATTTTTCACGTGTTTAGGTTTTAAAAGCTCATCTTACACGCTGCCATGAACAGTTTAAAGCTGCCAAAACAGCTGCGAAAGAGACAGATGATACGGCGACGATACAACTGGACTGGAGTGAGAACTACACAGTGAAACAGTCGAGAGAAGAAAAGGGTAATTTGGAAAAATCATGCTTTTGATTAAGACGTTAGAAAATGTCCTTTTCTTTTCATGATACAGGAGCTTATTATTTTGACCAACATATTTCGATTCTTTCCGGCTATGTTTGGTCAAAAAATGAATCCTTCAGTTTCGGTTCGTTAAGTGACGATACTAATCACATGTCCGAAGCTTCATGGATTGCTATCAATGAACTTCTACTCGATCTGATTGAGCAAAAGAAAATTAAAACAGTCAACATCATCGCAGATTCGCCGGTGTCTCAGTTTCGAAATAAAACTACGATTTCTATGATGAAAAAGTACGGAGAAGAAAATAAAATTAACATGAAATGGATTTTTCTGGAAGCTGGTCATGGCAAAGGAGTCGCCGACGCAGTAGGCGCGGCTCTGAAACGAAAATTTGATGAAAGTATTGCCTTTGATCCAGATAATAGTTACGACAATGCTGTAGAAAATCATATTGAAATCAAACTATTTCTCTACGATAGTGATGGCATTAAAGCTGTAAAAGATTCTATTTCAGCTATTCGTACAGTGAAAGGGACATCATCATTCCATGAAGTTTTTGTTACAGAAGACGGTGCTTTGTATGCTAAGAATCTCTCTAATGAGAAAGAGAGATTGCTGAAAACTGTGTTCAAAAAATGACATGTTGGCTTTGTCGACAGTGTACTTTTTTGTTTTGAAAACTTGTTTGAACAATTAACTTTTTCTATGTTTAAATTAAAATGACTGAAGTAAAGGAGAGGAGATTTCGAAGTAGTATTTCAAGCTTCGAGAGAGTCGAAAAGTAGAAAGTAACGAGTCTAGAACAGCTTTACAGTTTTTAAGCGGAATTCCAGCAAAAACTCTAAGTCATTGTGCGTTTTTCGTTTTTGGAGCCAGTTTTTTTTCTTTAAGAAAGCTGTGTGTGACTTAGATGGATAGACCTCAGTGAGAGCTGTCGAATGGTGTATGCTATGTGTCCTTTTAACCGATAAGAAATCATGGCTGTTTTACAGTGATGTTATGTTTTCTGAAAAGACTATGAGCAGGGACTACTCCGAAGTTTCAAAGCTTATATCTCTGGCACCGCGCAAAGAATTGTCGGGAAATTCACACCAGACACTCAGAAAAACTTGAGGAACAAAACTGTTGTCTCAGATTTCTTTTATAAACACTTTCATTTTTTTTCGTCGATTGTAAAACGCACTTGCAATTCACTCACGTAAAGTATTCCTCCACAGTATGTATGAATCTTAGATTTATTCCCCTGTTCTGTACTATAAGTGGTCCTCAAATAGATAACGCTTTAACACATTTAAAAAGTAAATTGAAATGGTAAACAAGCATTTTCCTCTTTATGGTTCCATACATCATCTTGAAAAAAAAGAAACCCTATCAAACGAAACTTATAGACAGACGTGACAACGCTAGAAAAGGATATGGTCGACTCCACTAATTCCGGGTTTCGAACCAGTATATATTGAAAAGATAGAGCATCTCGGGTATAGTCGAACACAAGTATTTTTAAATCTTGAAATGTGCAAGTGGTATTTTTAATCAAATCATTGTATATGTTCCAACCTTTCACCATTAAAAAACAGCGATGTTCTGAGTATTTTTTTCTGCCATATGCAAACGCGGACCAAACTGTATTTGGTATAGTAAAATAGGCAATGAAAAACTGAATAAAATGGTATATGAACCATAGTTACGTACCATATTACTAAGGAGAAATGGTTTATTTTCAAGCATCCGTTATCTATTGACCATGCTTGAGTGATCAGTCATTTAATAAACCTATCTCGTTTTTTCTTGCAAAATATGAAGCTGACATTTCTATACCATTCGAACCGCCAAACGTTGAGGAATAAACTCACATATCGCTTTTTCTTTGCTTTGTCGCTCGAAAAATTTATTTTTGCCACATCACGAACAAAAAGTCGGAATTGTGCCAATAATTCTCAACTCGAATTTTCACGTCGAAAATACAAAAAGTAGTTGAAGTCGAACCGAATCTTAGCGACTAAGAAATTTCTTGAATCGAACCATGGATACGTCAGTCGTTATAGAACTGAAAACTGAACAAACGCAGAGGTTTGCCGGTGTTCGTGTATGACGTGATTTCGAAGCTCTGGGGAGTTTTCGGAAACCCATAGCAAATATTTATTTTAATACAAGCTTTTTCTAATTTAACTTAAAAACCAACTTTTTAATGGTGCCAGTGAATAGAACTCGTAAAATTGAATCATTCAGACCATGGTCTGAATGATTCAGTTTTACGAGTTCTGCAGTCTCTGACCGTTCAAACCGTTCAAAAAGCTTTAAATGACGCTATTTAAATGATTATGTAGTTACATATAGACCTACAACTAGTATGAATAGCATTTAAATCTGTGACATCAACAATGACTGTTTGTTTGAGCCTACCAGATAATGGCTCTTAAAAACCAGCTTTCCATACTCAGCTCCATGCATTCTATTCACCCATGTCAAAAGAAACGAACGGCTTGTCCAGCTAACCGCGTCCATGTTTTGCTCTACTTCTCTTTTTACTTCTTTTTTTTATTGCAATAAAGCTACAAACTAATCTAAAACGGCAACTAGATGATTAAGTAGATTAAACATTTCTCTACAAAATGAAAAGTGTCTCGGCTCTGAACGTTGATTCGTTATAAAAATACAGCTGTTGTACACACAGCTCCAAAAATCGATTCTTGGGCTATCTAAAAAGCGTGTCTAAAACAGTGAAGACGAGCTGGTAAACATTGAACAAGTATACCAGTTGTAGAAAATTGTTCGCTCTACAAGATGTGACAGCTTTTCAAGCTCGAAACTATTCTGCTTAATCTGTATCAATCAAAGAAAAACCAGAAACACGGTAACGCTGTGACACTTTTGACCGTTTTTTGTCACAGAATCACGGTTTTTCTGTTTTTTTTTTGATTGATACAGATTAAGCAGAATAGTTTCGAGCTTGAAAAGCTGTCACATCTTGTAGAGCGAACAAT